GCCCCCCTCCCCAGGTTTTCACCCCACTATTGTCTGTGTCCCTGGGTTAAGGACATATGAATATAAGTTCTTTGGTTAATTACTTCCCACCCTCCACCCTCCACCCTCCCCTCAGAAATTTGTCAGTCTGTTGCATGCTTCCATGTATTGGATCTACTTTGTCAGTTTGTTTTGTTAGACTCCACATATAAGTGAGATCATGTGATGTTTGTCTTTCTCTGACTGGCATATTTCACTTAGCATAATACTCTCCAGGTCCCTCCATACCGTCCTAAAGGGTAAGAGGTCCATTTTTCATAGCTGCGTAGTATTCCATTGTGTAAATGCCCCACAGCTTTTTATCCACTCATCTACTGATGGGCATACAACTTAGCAAAAGAAAGACAAACAACCCAATTTAAAAATGGGCAAAGGACCTAAATAGACACTTCTCCAAAGAGGACATACAGATGGCCAAAGGACATGTGAAAAAATGCTCAAAGTCCTTAATCATCAGAGGGATGCAAATAAAAACGACAATGAGGTATGACCTCATGCCTGCCAGATTGGCTACCATCAACAAATCAACAAATGACAAGTGCTGGCGAGGATGTGGAGAAGGGGCACCCTGGCACACTGCTGGTGGGAATGCAGACTGGTTCAGCCACTGTGGAAAACAGTATGGAGTTTCCTCAGAAAATTAAATATGGAGCTGCCTTATGACCAAGTGATCTCAGTTCTAGGAATATAGCCTAAGAATCCCAGAACACCAATCAGAAAGAATTTATGCACCCCTATGTTCTTAGCAGCACTAATTCATGTGGTCTTAATGTCAATAGCTGATACTTATTGAGCTCTCAGGATGTGTTTGGCCTTGTGCTTTCCATTTAATCATGTCTTAGGAGCTCATTTTACCCATGAGCAAAGTGGGATTCTCTTGCAGTCACACATGTAGCAAGACACAGGGCTGTGATTTGAACTCTGGTCAGCCTGATTCCAAAGCCTGCAGGTCCTATGATGTCCCACCAAACTGCCTTGCTGTGTGCTCCCACGGTTGTTCTAGCTTTCCAGTCTTCACCCAAAGCCCCACCGATTGCTCTGGACCTTTTCTGGGAGTTCTTTATTTCTTTGTGTGCATGGACACCACTAGCATTTTTACCTTCCTCACCACTGCTGTTCCCAGTCATTCTAAAACTTAGTCTTGAATCTAACTTCCTTAGACTTTCCAGCCCTCTCTCATCACTCACCCCCACCCCTGAGGANGTGCATGGACACCACTAGCATTTTTACCTTCCTCACCACTGCTGTTCCCAGTCATTCTAAAACTTAGTCTTGAATCTAACTTCCTTAGACTTTCCAGCCCTCTCTCATCACTCACCCCCACCCCTGAGGATTTTGCTGCCTGCCCCTCACTCTCTCAAGTACTCTTCTGATAAAATTTATACCCCCACACACAAGCCATGCCTTGGCCTCTCTTTTCTATCAGTGATCTTGTCTTCCCCCCATCTTGGGCAGTGGCTCCTAGGGACATCCCTTACACTTTATTATTGCAAGGATCTGGAAGCCCTCCTTCATCTCCATTTCAGTCATACCAGCTGCTGACTTCCACCACCCATCTCTCTAGCTCACTTTCTCTAATACTTCAACTCCTGCAATCCTTCAGTTGCACGGGGACTTCCAGTGGTTGCTTCTCCTTTTTCTTTGTCCCTCGCCTGCCTCAAGTCCTTACTTCACCCAGTTTAAACTCCATGAGTGACCCTGATCACTCCTAGGCAAACACCTTCAGCTCCTGTGCTTTCTCCGTTGTCATAGCTGTCTGCTCCTGGATCAGAGGACAAACACAGCCTGGCTAAGCAGAATTCTTGGCCTACTTCATGCGCACTTCCAAATAGCTGTTGTTTCACTTGAAATTCACAACCTCTCGAGGGGCTCTTAGTTTTCCCCAACCATCCTCATACTTATTTCATTCAGTCTCCCACCCTCTAGGCCGCTTTTCTGTACTGCTCCTCTCTCCTCAGTCCCCAAGACCTCCTCCCCCATCCACACTCTCAGCTGGTGACCTTGCACTCTGATTCCCAGGAACAATAGAAGCAATTGGAAGAACATTCCCACGTACTCTCACCGCCTACCCTGACAGATGAATAGAGTGGGTGGTACTTGAACCCCAAGTCAGCTCTGTCCCTTCCGTACTTCATTCACCTCCTCAAGGACATTACTCTCGCAATTCTCTCTCCTGTATCATCTTATTTTCTCCCTCTTCTGGTTTGTTTCCATGTTTTGAACAAAACTCCTCCAAAGAGTTTTTGTATTCACTGTCTCCACTTTTTCTCTCTCTTGCCCTCTTCCCCTATGTCAAGAAAATGTAATCTCTTCATCTGTAGTTGATCTGATCTTATCTTGAGGTCTCACCTGCTGGGTAGGAAGATAAAATTATCTAGTAAAGTGTAGCCCAGTTGGGTGAATTAAACAGTCCCTCTAAGGAGTGTGTGGTTCTCTTCGATAACATGGGTAACTTCTCCCACAGCCTCCTCTCCCTTCCCAGGCTTTATGTAAGGGGCACCCAGGCATATGGGGAGGGGTGGTCAGGTGGCTTAAAGGTCCTTATGAAACCCGAAGGGAGAAGGGCACCAAGCTTTGTGCTGGTTCCTGGGGGTGCCTGGACTGGCATTTGCTAGACTGCAGTTTAATATCCCTTTCCTGTCTGGCCCACCAGGTGCTCTCCTAACCCTGGAGGCAGAGATAGATGGCTGGTGAATTTGTGGTCCCTTTCTTTGACACAAATGATGCTCTTGGGAGGACCTGACACCTTCCCCCTTGACTTTCACAGGTTGCAACACCTTGAGTCTCTTTCCTGTTTCCCCACTCTGTACAATGGCCTGGTGGTCACCCCAGCCTCTGCTGAGGGCTCCCTCACTCCTTTCCCACCTAGCATGGCAGCTCTGAGGAAGGCCAACTGGGTCTCAGATTAGTGCCTGTGCCAAACAGGCTGACTGTGCCAGTTGTATCCACCCTCTCAGACTCTTTTCTGCTGCTCACCCTCATTCACCCCTCCCTTCTCTGTTGCATTCTCTCCATACAGCTTATTACAAACTGACCTACTATTTAATTTACTTAGCTGTTTGTTATCTGCCCCCCCCC